TGACACTAGTGAAAGAAAAACTTCAAGAGTACTGTACAACTATATATTCAAGAAGTGGTGTAAATCAGATGTGGATACTTAAAAATTCTAAAGAACTTTTGGACAATTTGAAATCACAAGACTTTACAAAAATCAACAGCATAAAAACTTACGACTTTTCAACTTTATACACAACAATTCCCCACGACAAATTAAAATCCAGGCTTTTTGATATCATTGACAGCTGCTTCTTCAACAAAAATGGAACTCGTAAATTTACTTACCTCGTCATTGGTCATTTGAAAAATTATTTTGTTAAAACAGATTCTGATTGCACACATAAGTACTCTGAAGTTGGCATCAAGAAGATGCTTGAGTTTCTGATTGACAATATCTATGTGGTTTTTGGAGACCAGGTATTCCAGCAATCTATTGGAATTCCCATGGGTACAAATTGCGCTCCGTTATTAGCAGACTTATTTTTATATTCATATGAAGCAGAATTTATGCAAAATCTTTTACGTGAAAAGAAGAAAACACTTGCTGTGGCCTTCAGCTCGACATTTAGATATATCGACGACGTATTGTCAATTAATAATGATAATTTCCATTCATACGTCGACACGATATATCCTGGTGAGCTTGAGATAAAAGATACCACAGAGTCCGACACTTCTGCTTCATACTTGGATATTTTACTTGAAAAAGACACTAATGGTAATCTAACAACCAAGCTATATGATAAACGTGATGACTTTAATTTTTCTATCGTCAACTTCCCTTACTTATGCAGCAATATACCTTCATCACCTGCATATGGAGTACATGTATCTCAGTTAATTTGATATGCAAGAGCATGCTCTGCGTATGAATAGTTTCTAAAACGACGTAAATTATTGACAAGCAAGTTGATGAAACAAGAATATCAACAGTCTCGTTTAAAGTCATCATTTCGTAAATTCTATGGTCGATACAATGACCTTGTCAGCAAATACAATTTATCATTAAAGTTTAATATAAATTCTTATCAAACGTAAGCTAACAAATTTGACTACAAGGTCTTTTAGTGAAAAAATTGTTGACGTTTCTTTTGTTTTTTTAGTGACAATAAATAAGCTATCGGCGGGACAGTAAATAAAACCAGAAGTCTCTGTCGAGACTGTAGCTCTACTGGTATGTACTTATCAAAAACCATTGCACTATTTTATGTATCTTTGTGTAGTCTACTTGTGTGCCAACTTATTTTGAAATCAAACTAGAACTGTAGAAGAAGTAGCTTTTTAAGGAATTTCACAGAAAATTCTATTTTTAGTAACCATGGCAACACCGTTCATCGAAATCAAAAAACCGATGCACTATTCTATGTATCTTAGTGTAGTCTACTTGTGTGCCATGTTATATTGAAATCAGACCAAAACTGTAGAAGAAGTAGCGTTTTTAAGGAATTTCACAGAAAATTCTATTTTTAGTAACCATGGCAACATCGTTCATCGAAATTAAAAATCCATGCACTATTCTATGTATCTTTGTGTAGTCTACTAGTGTGCCAAGTTATATTGAAATCAGACCAAAACTGTGGAAGGAGTAGCATTTTAAAGGAATTTTACAGAAAATTCTATTTTTAGTAACCATGGCAACACCGTTCATCGAAATAAAAAAACTGATGCACTATTCTATGTATCTTAGTGTAGTCTACTTGTGTGCCAAAGTATATTGAAATCAGACCAAAACTGTGGAAGGAGTAGCATTTTAAAGGAATTTTACAGAAAATTCTATTTTTAGTAACCATGGCAACACCGTTCATCGAAATCAAAAATCCATGCACTATTCTACGTATCTTAGTGTAGTCTACTTGTGTGCCAAGTTATATTGAAATCAGACTAAAATTGTAGGAGGAGTAGCGTTTTGAAAAATTGTTTACAGACAGACGGACAGACAGACAGACAGACAGACGGACGGACGCATTACTATCGCATAAGCTCTTCTGGTCTCTGACCAGTAGAGCTAAAAATTGTGGCGTAATTTACCATTTATGATGAAATAAAATTTATGATGAAATGAAATATCTTGCAACATGGTCATGGTTTGTTTGGGGTGGGGTACAAAACTGGATATATAGTGGAAGTGCATTTTCTGTTTGTTATTCTAACTACCTCTGGGTATTAAGTAACCAAAGTAAGCATGCTAAGTGTAAAGTTATGATAAGTAATGGTGCCTCTTTCAAAAAAGTGAGTTTTATGGCCTCTGTTTTAAACAGGAAGCAAGTTCAATTGTTGGAAAGTTGTTACATGATACCCAGGTGACCTATAAAGCCTTGGGCCTCTTTTTTGTATACTGTGCTATTTATAGTAAGACAATCGATCATGATGCCTACTGTTTATAGCTAAGCCCGATTAAATATGTTTGTCATTAATTTATCATTCATTTTCTGATATGCAAAACATCTAGATAACTTAGTTCCTCGACCATTCTATAATTTTTTATCACAGCAAGAGACTCCAAAATACACTTACGTTTTCATCCTTAATAATTGACCCCTCTGAAGTTGACTAGTCTGCCAGTCATCTGCCGCTTCTTGCAGAATTACACATCCGACTAAAAGATGCTGAATACGAACCTAGATGTGAAAGAAGCATTGCTTTCCACAGTGTCTTAAAAAATTGTATGAAGATTTAGGATGAAAGACAAAAAATTATTTTTTTCGGCGAAGATGTATTTAATGTTTTATATTCATAAGTTTTTTTTTTATTGTCATACAAATTTTTATAGAAGCTCATGCCAACAAAAAAATTATAAAATGTAATGAAAAGAGAAATCTTACACAGCCTGTCTCTATAAGCTGCTTGGCACCTTCGTAGCATTTTCTTTTCAAGAGAGCAAAGAAGATCAATCCAAATAGACCAGAAGTATTAACGTTCAATTTTTCATCTGCAACCCAGTGTAAAAATTACTTATATTTCGTTCAACGATTTATTTTTCAACTCATTAAATTGCTATATTATGAAAATCTTGTTTGCAATACATTGCACATAAGCTGCTCAATGTTTAATGAAAAAAAAATCATTCAACTAGATTTGAGTATTTAGTGTTTGGATTCTAGACAAAGATTTAGACTTAGTGTTAGAGCTAAGGTTAGGGTTAAGCAACAAGGGTTAAGGTAATTATTTGGATTCTAGCATAAATAGTTATCGAAAAAAAAAATAAAATAAAATATGGCGGAATCAAAAATATATGACAGAAAAGGCAGATATGTAAGAAGTAGGTCGTACAAAGATTAACAAATGATGTTTGTAAAAATACGAACACTCCCCTCCCGTAAATAATTGAAATTTTCCAAATAAAACGAAACACAACTCTGTCAAACATTTTTCGGTCTTATCCAGAAAAAAAAATTTACCAAGATATTCATTATGGTTAATGTCTATACCCAATGTCATTTAGATACGTGCTTTTGATTGCATCCAGAGACATAACAATAGTTATGCTAAAAAATGATTTTTTTTAGCTCGGTTATATTGAATTCTCGAAATATCTTTTTCATGTATGATCTATGGAGCCTTTTTCGGTACCTTTTTTGTCTTTTGAATGTCCTTTCAATTTTGGCGCCGTATATGCATATCTTGTCTTCAATTCCAAATCCTTCCAAAGGCCCTTTTTGAAATCATTTGACATTTCCTACATGGATATAAATGTTTATTGGAGAGAAATTAATATGTCGGCCTTGTAAAAATTGACAAAAATCACTAGAAACTCAAATGATCGAAAAAAAATGTGAATAAAGATGATTGTTACATAGAACAGTAACTAAAGACATACACACCTTTTCAAAAATGTATTCGATTGACTTCTGGTTAAATGATGTTTTTATAATGTTCTTAGGTATTTTCCATTTTCCTATTTTCATCAAATACATCGACAGTGCATTTGGGTATACATCTGTTTTGCAACCCTGGTGAATATAACACTATATACTTGTAATAACTTTGCAAAATGCTTGTCTGACTGAGCAATTTATATAAAAGAACGTAAAAATGTGATCGCTTAATTTTTGTTGAAGTGGGGCTTACTATTTCATCACTTAACAAAACGAAGTTAGGCAGCAGTGGTTATTTAAAGGTAGTAGTGAAGTTCATATTAAAGGCATTCGAAATTAGAAACCAGAGACCAAGCCCCAGGATAATGAAACAGACTTAGATTTAAGTCAAATTTTTTATCAACTGTAAAATTTTAATTAATTATTAAATTGATCTAAAAATTTGCAAATAACACCATTTTCATGAATAAAAAATGAAACACATTTCAATTTTGATTTGTTTGCACTGCAAAAATCTTCAACATACTTATTAGCGTGTTAATTTTGACTTACGCTGAAGAAGTTTCATTATCCCGGGGCCTGATGAATTTCGACTTCAATCTCTGTTTTCCCATATAAGAGGGTTGAATAAATATTATTTTCATTTATAGAACTATTGGAAGCATCTTAAGATGGTTTAGATACAGGTTTCTTTACATTATAACCCCCAGGGTTGGGGTGTGGTCACAGTGAGGAATCAGTTTTCATGAGAATATATAGAAAAAAAATCCAGAGCAGATAATTTTGTTCGGTCAAATAAACAGTCATGTAAGCATCTGCAAGTAGTGAAGATGGTGACTTATTGCTACATGTATCTGTTTTTGTCCGTCGCGTTTTATGGTCCCTGGGGAAAAACACCACTAAAAGTAATGCAATCTTTAAAAATATTCTTCAGCCGATACTCCTGGACATCATGCAATCAAACTATTGGAACAAATGTTTACAGAATCAAGTATCCTACCATAATTGTGCGTAACGTTCATGGCCCCAGGTTCAAGATTTTATTTGAAATGTATTATTTTTTTGAAAATATTTTTCCCAGCACCTGGGCATTAAATAAACTAACCAAGTATGTATTTCGATACATTTTAGAAGAACATTTTCTCAGATTTAATGTATTTTAACTATTAAATCAATAGAGCCCAGCCCTAACAGCAGAACCCCTTACCCTGCGGCCATAAAATTCACAACTTTGGAAGCGGCGGCATTCTTGCTCATCATAACTATGTACTTAGTTTATTCAATTACCCGGAGCAGAGAAGAAATTTCAAAGAAATCATGTATTTAATTTCTTGGACCATGCGGTCCACGCAGTAAATATATAAGTTAAAGCGGATGCCCTGGGTAAATGTCAGGACACGCATGCGAGAGAATGCTAGAGAGTTGCTCCTAAGACAACTTGCTCATAGAATAATTCGCCTTAGTCGAATAAGAATATATGCAATTTCATAAGCAAATCTTGCTTTTAAATTTGCATTATTCATCGTATATATTTATAAGTGGATCTTAATATACAAACTAAACATTGATTCTATGGCACAAGCATTTTAAAAAGTAGGAAGAACTTGCAGTATATACTATTAGATAACTCAATATCTTGAATTTAAAACTTCATTCAACGACAAGTTCTAGCTTTTAAAATCGGCATACGTTTTGTGCATCAAGGCTCACAAAATAATTTGATACACAGCAATCTAAATACAGCTTGATATAGATGCCTATAGAAACGGTGTTCCATCTGTGTGTGTGTGTGTGTAGGTTGGGGATGGTGTTCGAAAATTTAAAAATCTGCGTACTACATGGCTATGCTTCAATTGTACCATCAGATCTATTTTCTAAAGATGGATTTCTTACGTATTCGTCCAGAATAGCTACAGATCTGTAGCCTTATGGCTTTATATATTTGTTATGATCAAAGACAAATAATTTAAAACCATGCTACAGGTCTGCAGCTAAGTCAAGAACAGATATCATGTTCCCAGTCAATATTGGTTTCATGTATCAAAATACCCCGACCTTTTTTCACTTAGAAGACTATAGGCTAACTATAGGCTAATCGGATAAAATTTAATAATTTTGCTATGAATGTACTATCAGTCAAAGTAGGCAGGTCATTGTGGAAATGTACATGCACGAACCTACGAAAATTTATTGAGCCTAAAAAAAATTCTCTAATTGAATTTTGAACACATGCATATGGTACACGTATTGCAGTCCTTTTTCTTAAGGACAGCAACTTGTTTTCATTATATAATCAATAGAGCCCCACTGTAACACCAGAACCCCTGACCCCGGAGCCATAAAATTCACAATTTCGATAGTGGCACTCTTGATTATCATAACTATGCACTTAGTTTATTTAATACCTGGGAACAGAGAAGAAATTTTTTTTAAAGAATTCATTCACTTTCACTATAAAATCTATAGAGCCCCGCCCTAACACCAGAACCCCTGACCCTGGGGCCATAAAATTAACAATTTTTGTATAGTCATTCTTGGTCATCATAACTATGTACTTAGGAGGTTTATTTAATACCCAGGAGCAGAGAAGAAATAATGCATTTTAACTATAAACTTATTTAGCCCGGTCCTAGCACTAGAACTCCTGATGAATTTCACAATTTTGGCAGAGGATTCAATGCTGATTCGACGCAGTTCAACCGGGTTCCAGACGATCTGACGAAAGAAATTACCTGTGCGAAATCTTGGATTTCTTTTCCACAAAGGCCGGTTGGATTTATCTATTTCGTTCTCAAAAAATTATAGTACCCACGTTTCAGAAAAAAAAAGATCAATGAACACAAACTACTACTGTTTACTGCATTGGAGAAAATGCTTTCGTACAACATATGTATATAGTTATATCCATTCTCTAAAATCTTCACAATGAATGATTTGACAACAGATTTCAGAATAGTTGTAGCTTTAAATTTAGATCCAGGGGTAGACCAATCTACTTGCAGAAAAGGCAATCGCATCACCTCGGGTCTTTTCGTCAGAGGTCAAACTCGAATGTATCGACATCATCATCGGATGTTAAAAATTTATACATTTCCTGTTCATAGTAAAAACGGACTAAGAAGTCCCTTCTATAGTATATTTTAGATAATATCATTACATTGAATAAAGTTAACACCATATCCCACAGAAAATAGTTCTATATACATCATCCATGCTTTATTTCAAAGTTTGTGAAAGGGGGGGGGGGGTGTCATGGCGTATAAATTAACAAAACATTTGTGCTCTCCTTCCTTAGATAAGGCCCGAGGAGTGGGACCGAGAAGTTGCGATTGGCAGAAAACCCACAATGGCCACATACATTATCCATTCTGTTAACAACTCTTCAGAATGCAGCAAAGGCATCGTTCTTTTAAAAGTTAAATGATTAAATATTTTTACAAGGTTCTCAAATAAAAAGACAAACACAAACAAGAGGCCCATGGGCCACATTGCTCACCTGAACAATTGGCTTGGAAAAAGCACACATCAGATCAGAACTGAAAGTTTACTGAGAATTGGGGCTTGAATTTTAACCCCCAGGGGATCATGATTTGAACAAAGCTTGAATCCACACTACCTAAAGATGATTCCCTTTACTAAGCACTGCTTTCAAGTACTAGAAAAGAAGATTTTAGAAGATTTCCCTAGATATTCATATGTAAAACTTTTATCGGCCATTTGGCCCCACTCTACCGCCGAGGGTCATGATTTGAACAAACTTGAATCTTCACTACCTGGGGATGATTCCACAGCACTTTCATCTTTCCTGTTTCAATGGTTCTTGAGAAGAAGATTTTTCTTATATATTCCTATCTTAAACTTTGATCGGCTATTTTGGCCCCAACATAAACCCGGTGGTCATGATTTAAGCAAACTTGAATCTACACTACCTGAGGATGATTTCAAATGAGTTTCATCTTTCCTGGCCCATTTGTCTTGAGATGATTTTCAAAGATTTTTCATATACATGTATATTCCTATGTAAAACTTTGATCAGCCATTTTGGCTCCATCCTACACCTTGGGGTCATGATTTGAACAAACTTGAATCTACACTACCTGAGGATTTCATATGATCATCTTTCTTGGCCCAGTGGTTCTTGAGAAGAAAATTTTTAAAAAGTTTTCCTATATATGTAAAACTTTGATCAGCCATTTTGGCCCCACCCTACATGTACCTCTGGGGGTCTAATTTGAATAAACTTGAATCTACACTACCTGAGGATGATTCCAAATGAGTTTCATCTTTTCTGGCCCAGTGGTTCTTATGAAGAAGATTTTTATAGGCCTAGATTTTTCCTACATATTCCTATGTAAAATTTTGATCGGCCATCGTGGCCCCGGGGTCATGATTTGAACAAAGAAGAAAGTTCACATTGGTTCAATTTTGGCCCTGTGAATTTCTGAAAATTAAGAACTACTCAATTTTTGTTGAAAATATGTTATATTTCACTTGGACCCTTGGTGACTTAATATCAAATAAAATTGACGTAGTTTTTTCTCTTGTCTATGTATTATGACGTCATGAATTTCGTCATTTTCCTCAAATCTTGAAAATTTCGTTAAAAATGCCCCAAAAATGAAGTTGTTTTTTCATATTTTGCATATCCCCCAACCTCTGATCTAAAATGTAGAATTATAAAATGAAAGAACTGTATCAGAAGATTTTAATCCATGAAAGAATTTTTGGATCGCAGGGTGGGCTCATTTTTATCATAAGTTGAAGATGCTCAATTTCACTTATTTCCTTAAAAAATCAAGAACATTGAAGGTTCTCAATGCCTGAGTTTCCAAGCCTGGACTCTTAGAGGAAATTTTTTTTATAGGAAATGAAAGCACTAAGTCTCTACTTTATGTTAATGATCGAAATAGAACGTAAGGACATGGTCGTTTAATTAGTTCATTGACAGGGCCATTTTATGGAGTACGTGAATCTACCTCTTTGAATCTACACTACCTGAGGATGATTCCACATGAGTTTCATTTTTCCTGGCACAGTGGTGCTTAAGAAGATTTTTAAAGATTTTTTTTCTATATACTTCTATGTAAAACTTTGATCGGCCATTGTGGCCCCGCCTTACGGGGGTCATG